CACACACACACACACACAATGTGTGTTTTAAAGAACCGTAGCCATATCTCAGGAGGGAATGAGAGACAGAGGAGGGGGGGAGTGGAGGATATAAAATGGACAGACAAGTAGAAAAGGAGGGGCAGGAGGGCTGGAAAGAGAGGGAAAAGAGCAAGACGGGAGGAAACGGTTCAGTAAGGACATTCTGATCATGATAGACCGTTTATTGCAGCAAATGAGAATTTGTCAGTTCACGTCAAAGAACTGAATCATGTAAGCATGACAGAGATTGTGTCTGCGACCACAACATCTCTTGCCTTTGACAAAGTTTGCGCTGGTCAAAGGAGTACAAAAAATTCTGGGTCCCCTGAAATGTTTTTCTGTGGTTCTAGAAGTGTCCCCACTTTTCGTTTATTTTGGATTCATTCCTTGTAGCCACAAATATCCAGAAAATACAGTCAACAATTGGGAAAAATGAGTTTTCCCCCTTTTTCACTCGTCTCTGTTTTTCTTAATAGTTGTTGTACTTACTCGTCTGCACCCCCTCACACCTCCCTAACCGACACAACTCTCCCTAACTCTCACACACAAACACACTGCCATCACACTTCTTCTCCCCAGGCACCAAGTCTGAAAGGAAGTGACCTATATGCCCTTCCTGTGAGATCCTCTCTGTTCAAAGAGTTCCCGGCTGCCACTCTCTCTCACTTACACACACACACACACACACATGCACACACAATGAGCAGTTCCTCAAGTTGTATTTATTTATTTTTCCTCTCCAGTAGTTATCTGTAACAGATAAAGTCCATCTCTCTCGGGGGTTGGTCGGGTGGGACTTCAAACAGCGCAGCACAGGCCAGGTTTGCCCCAGACTGGGAGGGCAGGAAAGGGGACATTTATCACCGTAACACACACCGACTTTATCGCCATGTAGTCTCTCCCACTCTCACTTCAACCTCCCTCCTTCTCTTCATCCTCAGGGTCCTCACAGCTTGGCTCTGGGCTTTTCTTCCTTTTAATACAGGACTTTTATTTATTTTATATGGTGTTAGTTGACTTTATACTTTAATTTGTTGAGACTGAATGGTGTACTGGGACAAGCAGACCAATTGAAATCATAATAACAGAACAGGGAAGGGCTTCCTTTCAGATGTAAAAGAGAAAAAACAAAATCAAGGGCAGCTGTCTAAATCTGGCATTTAGTTCAAAACTACTTTTAACAAATGTGACACTTTCCCAAAATGTGATTCTTGTCAGAGTTTTTAATGGGTGCAAGCAGATATCTGCAGGTGTTCTGTCATGATTTGACATGTTGTGCCAAAATTAGCAGAGGGCTTATTAATACACATTTTGGACAAATACCTTAAACCAAAAAAAAACTGGATAAAGATCTGGTTGAAGATGCAAATAATACAAAACTTGAAAACCTTTTCTAACCTCTGTCTTCTTGTGCCCAGCAGTTAGGTAGTAAGCAGTTGGCCTTCCAGCAGCAGCTGATCCAGATGCAGCAGCTTCAGCAGCAGCACATCCTCAACCTCCAGAGACAAGGCCTGGTCCCACTGCAGCCCACCGCCGCCATGCAGTCTCTGCAGCAAGGTATGTGCGCGCACACACACACACACACACACACACACACACACACACAGGCCCGTACCCAATGCTGCATGTGAAGCCTGTTAAGTTAATCAGCCAATAAAAGATAAGAGGAAACCTGATTGGTGGGTTTGTGGAAGGTACTCATTTGGATAATAAGTAAAATATGCCACTAAGCCCCCTGCTTGGAGGTGTGTGCATGTGCTTGCGCGAGTGTGTGTAAGCTTGTGTGTGTGTACTTGAGATTAGCCAGACACAAGAACATCATCGTCTTGCTATTGCTGTGCCCACAAGATTTTTTTTATTGTTCCTGTATGTAACTTCTCCCACAGTCCCTTTATTTTGTCAGTATAGTTTTAGAACGATAAAGGTTGACTGTTGACTGGCCCGCCCTTATTGAACTTGTGTGTATATGTGTGTGTGTGTGTGTCTTTGTCCACTTTTGTCGGTACACACATACGCACACTACCTCACACGCAGAGAATGCTTTAGGGGCTCTAAATTGGCCGTAACATTGCTAAAGCGCTGACTGAGTTGACCAAACAGAGCAGTTTCCTTCCCTCCGTCTGTCTGATCTCTCTCTCTCTCTCATGCGCAGTCACGTGCAGTCACACACAACTGTTCACATTCTCATAGTCGCTCTGTAGTCTGAATCTGAAAAAAACTCAAAAAAAATAAGCTCAATCAAATCAATTTAATTTTCAAAAAGTTCATTTCACATAAGCCTAATACAACACTCAAGATTTGCATTCAAACTTAAGTGTAATTTTTGCATCTGTGTGTTTATGTGCTAGGGGGGAGGGTGTGTGTGTGTTGTGTCTGCCGGAGGGTAAGTGGAATTACCAGTTCACAGAGAGAGTCAAAAAAACGGAGCAGATACAAATTGAAAACAAATAAAAAGACGGAGGCCACAGTTTTGCATAAAAGACTGTTGTTTTTTAGACAGTTGCAAACATTTGGCTTTGGCATCTCCTTCTCTCTCTCTCTCTCTCTCTCTCTCTCTCTCTCTCTCTCTC